CATCGCCGCATCATTCTAAGTACCTCGTGCTGCGGCGAGTCTCACCTTCTCGACCTCTGTGTGTGTGTGTGTGTGTGTGTGTGTGTGTGTGTGTGTGTGTGAAGGCGAAGAAGAGAGATGAGAGGAGAGAGAGGGACGAGAGGGGAGAGAGGGAGAAGGCGAAGAAGAGAGATGAGAGGGGAGAGAGGGACGAGAGAGGGAGAAGGCGAAGAAGAGATGAGAGGAGAGAGAGGGAGAAGGCGAAGAAGAGATGTGAGAAGAGGGGAGAGAGGGAGAAGGCGAAAAAGAGAGATGAGAGGGAAGGACGAGAGAGAGAGGAGAGAGGGAGAAGGAAACAGGCGAAACAGATAGAAGAGCAAGAGGGACAAGAGGGGAGAAGGGAGAAGGCGAATAAGAGGGGCGAGAGAGAGAGAAGGCTAAGAAGAGAGATGAGAGGAGAGAGAGGGACGAGAGGGGAGAGAGGGAGAAGGCGAAGAAGAGAGATGAAAGGAGAGAGAGGGACGAGAGAGAGGGAGAATGCGAAAAAGCGATTTGAGAGGGACGAGAGAGAGGGGAGAGAGGGAGAAGGCGAAGAAGAGAGAGGGAGGAGAGGGGAGAGAGGGAGAATGCTAAGAAGAGAGATGAGAGGAGAGAGAGGGAGAAGGCGAAGAAGAGAGATGAGAGGGAGAAGGAGAAGAGAGGAGGGGTCAAGGTCAAGGTCAAAATGAAGGTCAACGTTCCAAATAAGACACTTTAATGTAAATTCACTGTTCATGGATAGTAGATTTCAACGAGAAAATAGCAAACAGCATTAAACAGTACACAATAAACAGTAGTTGTCACAATCCTCTATGACTCCTCATCCTCATTACTCCTCAATCCGCATCATCACGCGGTGTACGATCGATATATCGACGTAGAACCTGGTTTAGGGGCCGATGATGTGCATTTGATGTACACGATCGATCGATCGCGTACTATATCGATCGATCGTGTACATCAAATCGTGTACAATCGATCGTGTACTAGTTTTTACGGTCCTAAAACCGCTCTCCATACACGTACACGAGAACTCACACGGAGAAGAGACCACGATCTGTGTGTAATATATAACAAAGAAGAATCGGGTCATGTAAGAAAGCAGCATCACACAGACCGGTCACTTTCCCGTGTGAATTCTCGTGTGTGTTTTCGAATTATTCAGATGTTCAGAATGCAATATCAATGAAACTGAGGTTATAAACGTCAGTGGTGTGGTTATATACCAAACTGCATGCAGCGTCTCCTTCGCACACTCAGGATACCACTGCCACAATGCTAGCACTATTTTTCAAATCGCAATCGAAGTCGCCGCCGAACAAAACATTAGACATTAACAATATCACACATCTGCTTGCTACCAACCGTAATATGGATAAACAGAAAAATACAGAAAATTAGGGTTATTTCAGTTTTTCGTGCACTTTTAGATGCCAACAATTTTCAACGATGTTACGATGACATGCTTACCAGCAAACGTTGTGTCAAGTCAGTCACTGCTGCCCACGAATTCAGAGTAAGCGAATTCCCATAATGTAATTCCCTGTAATTGCCAATCGGGGGAGCGTGCCGCTGCAAATTTGAACTGACACCTGCGGTGAAAGGACGGGCCATCCGGGGGCACCACTAGTCCAGTTGGAGGAGGAGGGGGAGAAGGGAGAAGCTGGTGGAGGAGGAGGGGAGAAGCTGGTGGAGAAGAAAGAGGGGAAAAAGGGAGCTGGTGGAGGAGGAGGGGGAGAAGGGAGAAGCTGGTGGAGGAGGAGGGGAGAAGCTGGTGGAGAAGAAAGAGGGGAAAAAGGGAGCTGGTGGAGGAGGAGGGGGAGAAGGGAGAAGCTGGTGGAGAAGGAGGAGGGGGAGAAGCGGGTGGAGAAGGAAAAGGGGGAGAATGGAGAAAGTGGTGGAAGAGGAGGAGGGGGAGAAGCTGGTGGAGAAGGAGGAGGGGAGAAGCTGGTGGAGAAGAAAGAGGGGAAGAAGGGAGCTGGTGGAGAAGAAAGAGGGGGAGAAAGAGGGGAAGAAAGGAGCTGGTGGAGAACGAGGAGGGGGAGAAGCGGGTGGAGAAGGAAAAGGGGTAGAATGGAAGTGGTGGAAGAGGAGAGCTGGTGGAGAAGGAGGAGGGGAGAAGCAGCTGGTGGGGAAGGAGGGGGAGAGTAGGGAGAAGCTAGTGAAGAATGAGGAAGGGGAGGAGCTGGTGGAGGAGGAGGGGAGAAGCTGGTGGAGAAGAAAGAGGGGAAAAGGGGAGCTGGTGGAGGAGGAGGGGGAGAAGGGAGAAGCTGGTGGAGGAGGAGGAGAGAAGCTGGTGGAGAAGAAAGAGGGGGAAAAGGGAGCTGGTGGAGGAGGAGGGGGAGAAGGGAGAAGCTGGTGGAGAAGGAGGAGGGGGAGAAGGAAAAGGGGGAGAATGGAGAAAGTGGTGGAAGAGGAAGAGGGGGAGAAGCTGGTGGAGGAGGAGGGGAGAAGCTGGTGGAGAAGAAAGAGGGGAAGAAGGGAGCTGGTGGAGAAGAAAGAGGGGGAGAAAGAGGGGAGAAAGAGGGGAAGAAGGGAGCTGGTGGAGAGCGAGGAGGGGGAGAAGCGGGTAGAATGGAGGTGGTGGAAGAGGAGGGGGAGAAGCTGGTGGAGAAGGAGGAGGGGAGAAGCAGCTGGTGGGGAAGGAGGGGGAGAGAAGGGAGAAGTCCCATGAGGGTCGGAGGAGAAGTTGGAGAAGTGATGATGAGGAGGTGGGGGCGGGACCCGTTTATATACCGCACGGCTACACGGTGCGAACACGCTAGAAGAACGCTGGGCGCGCTACAGACTCGAACATACGCCTCAGCCGACGAACATACGACGAACATCCAGCGAATATATTCATTAATACATAGAATATACAAATTATTTAAGAATATACATTATACATACTTCCTAAAAAGATTAAAAAGCTGATAAACAACCTACAAAATTTTCCGGGCAACCACACCGAGACACGATCCCATGATCTGCGTCTCGGGGGTTAAAAAGCCCGTGGAAGCAGCCCGCGGTTCCGCACGCGGACGCTACCAACCACGCCAGCTAGGCAAGCGGCGAGATTCTAAGATAGAATGCGGGTCACGATCCTAGGCACCCGACTCGTGACGGCAACGAAGCCAGAGCGCCCATATATAGACTGGAACGACGTTCGCGAATCCTAGGTATATAGGCGTACGAATAACGATTTGTCTCCACAAACGCGGCAGTCCACGCAGTAGCACCTAGCTCTGATCAGACTGTATCTTCATGGATTGTTTGTAAATACACGCGTTTCCACGAGCAGATGCACACACACGCGTACCCACGAGCACGCACGCGTACCCTCGAGCAGATGCACACGCGTACCCACGAGCAGATGCACACACACGCACGCACGCGTACCCACGAGCAGATGCACACACACGCGCACGCACGCGTACCCACGAGCAGATGCACACACACGCACGCGTACCTACGAGCAGATGCTGTGTGCATGCGTGTGTGTGTGTGTGTGTGTGTGTGTGTCTACTCAGAGATCGACTAATGCAAACTAGTGTAGTACTGCTAGAGAAACTGTAAAACTTCCTCAAACTTTGTGAGAACTGACGCTCTGCATGCTATTTTATACTACCCCAAATAAATCAGCCCCTCCCCATGCCTGACCATTGGTCAGACACTTGATTTCTTCTGTTCGCTGATTCGTTTGATTCGCTAAATTATTTCTACACGGTACACTATGACGTAGATTATGGTGCACTAGACTGTGCTGCCATGATGGCGACTAGTGGAATTCTACTGAACTAAAAGATATCTATCTCTTTGGGGGAATAACCTTGCAAAGCCCCATATATAGAATGGGACTACGTGAGAAGCCTCTAGCACATGCTCGCGGCTAATGATACATTCTATTGCTAATTTCAGCCCTACCCGCTCGCCAATGCCGCAATATGCTCCCATGTAACATGTATGTGTTACGAGCTGGCTCGCCGCTCGCTGCTGGCTGCTGCTGACTGGCTGGCTGGCTGGCTGGCTGGCTGGCTCGCTGACTCGACTCGCGAATATCGATCGCGCGAACACACTAACACACTAACACACGAGACCGAAAACATAACATCCTCCAACTCCTATGGCGTTTACACTCCCATGTCGTGAGTTTGGTTAATGTGGGGGTACAGTCTTAAAAGTTTACAGAGGTCTTCTTGAGGGTGTTGTCAACTCATTTCTAGCAAGAAAGGGGTTATTTGTTGTCACAAAGGCGCGACAATACGTCATTTTACCCAGCAACCTCACCTTGTTTCGACAATTTCTCACGATTTCATGCACAGGCACTTGGAACGTCTCAATAAAAAAAATTAATGGTAAATAAACACGAAATGTACCAAAGTCTTAATGTTTCTCTACTCTATTTCGCCTATAATCACCTGTAAATGCCGATTAAATGCTCATCTGCAACACACAAGTACACCGCACGCCCGCCATGTGCACAAACAACATGAATTTAGAGAGCAGGTAGGAAAGCGTGATCGCGAAATTTGCTCGACGCTTGCTTCATTTCACACGATCACAGAACGAAAACACATCCAACAGCTCCCATCTTCATCCCATCTTCATCCATGTGTACAGGTTTTATATGGATTGAATTTCGACACTTAATTTTTCGATTTTTCGATGAAAGTGGTCCAGCTTGTAGGCTACATCACTCATTTTCTTGGGCGATCCCCCTATTATTTGCAAGAATCTTCTTCTTCTTTACCTTTTCTTGCAAATGATGTAGGGGGGAGGGGGGGTGACCTGCATCCATAATTTGCAAGACATTTGCAAGATGTTTCTTTTTCTTTTCTTCTTCTTCTTTCCTTTTCTTGCAAATGATAGGGGGCGACCGCCCCCCCGCCTGCCCCCCCTGTGGCGCCGCCCCTGCATGAGACTGCCTAATTCTTTTCCAACCCCTATCATTCCCCATGTCGGGCTATGGTTGCTTCTGATAGCTTCCCTGCTGCATCTTTAACAGATTCCAAAATTGCAACCAAAGTACGCAATGAGCATGTAATCGTATCACAGGAAATTCATACTATACTTTTCATTTACTATTCCTATTTATGTGCCTTCTCTATCAAAATTTTGGCAAACTTTATTTAATATGAAAATAACAATGTTTTTGCGCATTTGTTATGTGCTTTATATATTATTTGTTGGCGACATCATTGACATATTACATCGGTGTCTGTTCAGTTACCACCATAGTTACAGAATCACATTTATAAATCAAGGTAATTTAAGACTACATTAACCTTTGAACTCCTTGTTGTAGAACTCCATCATCAGATCCATTTCTATGTTATTGTTACTTCCTCCCTGGACATTAACAGTTCTGTTCCACTTTAATTCGTGGGCCATTCTCGGTGACAATGCGCCGTGTGTGTCCATCAGCAACCGGTGGCCACATATGAAGTATTTTGTATGAATGCATTCGTAGAATTCAATCGTATCCTCCTTCCAGTAGGCCGTCATTTTATCCCCATTGTTCGATCTAATGGCTCTGTGACGAACCATTTCACCGATGCCTCTCCACAATAGTGCCTGTGTGTATTTAAATGTGAGGTCGTCGTTTACTTCCTGTGGGGCACTGTTGCGCGTTTCACATGCCCTGGAACAGTACCATTCCCTGTGCAGCACATCACTTTCATTCATTATGCTCATGCATGACAAATGGAACCATTTTCCATTCTTACACTTCTTGTTGTCACACATGACCATGCCTTCCCCAGAATCATTTTTGCACACACAATACCTGTAGTTGTCATCTGTTGACGTGTTGGCATTTATCACAGCGGTAGTGTTTGGTGGATAAAAACAAATGTCAACCACTTTTTCACAAATGTCATTGAGATAACTGCTTAGACGACAGCTTTCGGTTGGCAGGTCTTTAGGTGGCTCTGAAACAGTTCTGCATCCCATCAAACTCAATGATGTGGCTAGGATGTAAGCTTTTGTAGCGAATCTCAACAGCTCCGTCGCTTCATTAAAACAGTGGGACACTTCGGCTTTTACGTTAACTTGCCGATAAGCATTCCGTATGTAGGACAAGGTTCCAACACTCCTGGCACTCTTCTGTGAGTATAGCAGCCTGAATGTATCCTGTAAACAATGACACCAAACAATAAATAACTCCAGATGTAAAAATACATGACGGTTTGTCAACATTTGTAAACTACATATCGTATAGGTCAAGTGATTTATTTAGTGTAAATGAATTATTACTGAATGTTCTTCACTAATTTGTTTACAGTACATTCTTGAAATCGAAATTGCATGTAACAATTCCTACTAAGGTTTATTATATGATCGAAACGAGAGTTGAGGCTGGTAGCATTTTTTTACCTGTAGCAAAATACCGCGCTTGTGCCACTCCTGTATTGCCGGATGGAGCCCTTGCAGTTGGGCCCAAGCACTACCAGCGTTGATGCGTCCATTTTGGGCATCATAACCTCTCTCTACACTTAAACCGTCGCCATACAATGGAATAACCACAGGTTCGTCACTCAGCCCGACAGGAACGTAATCATGATAGCTTTCCATGATATCTATCTTTTCGGTGATTTCGCTTTCATCCTTGTCAAGTACCCCTAATGGAATCTAAAACAAAAGTTTCGCAGGCAAAACATGTACCTCATTTAGGAATATTTTTTTATTACATATTGTTTACGTTTTAATAGCTCAACTTGGACCAGTACGGTTATTAAGTGTGAACCATTTTTGCTAATGCTACTCATGAATGAACATTAGAGGATTTTATGCATGAGAAAGGTTGATGAACACAGCCGTTAAGAAAATGTTTGTACGTGGTTTTTTAAACATGGAGTTTAAAAGTTTTCCAGAGAATATTGTTAACAAATCTCACCAGCTGACTTTTCCTCTTAGAATTCTCTGCATGCACGTGAAGGTTAATTTCTTCTGCAAACCCTTCTTTATTAAAGAAAGGGAGATGTTCTTCCAGTGGTTCCTTTACTACTGTTACATAGTCAGATCTGCAATATATGAAAAATACATATTTTACTTCAACCTTTGCTGCCAATGATGATGGTCAATGTATTTAAAAATTAAAGTTTTGTATAGATGTTGAAGAAGTATTTTGAATATTAATTTGAATTAACAACAATGTTATTCCTATTCCTACCGAATAGTCCTGGTTTCAGTTTCACTCGGAATGAAGATGCTGCATGGTACATTCGCCACCTCTTCCGGTGAAGGGGCCAGGTCTGACAGGTGTAGCGTTGGAACTCTGTCAATGGCAACATATGCCTGGACCATGTTTTTCATAACATTGCCAGTTTTTCTTGAGGTCTGGTGTGCACGCAAATGGCTGTTGACGTTGTCAAACACAATGCTGTATGCACAATTTTGATTGTGCGTTTTTTGTGTTTCGACGTTTGCCTATGTATATATAAATAACAGAACAACTTAACAATATAACAAATAATTTTAAACTATGGACTTGCACACATTTGCATATTACTTCAGATTTTAAAATGTTGGTGATTATACATTTTGATCTATGTTACTTACTTGTTCAGCAACATCGTCTACTGGCGAGTCTTCCGCCAAGTCTCTTTCTGCCAGGTCTGCTGGCAGTATTTCCTCTGCTGCATCTGAAAATCACTTTTTTTAAATATTTAATACAGTCTCCCTAAATAAAGATAGCTACATAACTAGTTGCAAAGTATACAAATAAAACTCCCATCATTCCTACAGTAATTCACAAATTTACTTTTAAATGTATTGTGAATGCAAAGAATGGAACATGAATGAATCTGCTGGAAAGTGTGTTAAGTTAAACAATACAACAAATTAAGTCTTTGAGGAATCAAGTGAAGAAATAAAAATTATCAATAGTACATCAACTTCAATTTAAAATTAAACTTAAATTAATGTATATAAGATATCTTCACATTTGTATCTTATTTCACAGCGACAACTTCGGTACCAAACAATGTATGCGAAATCAGTACCCAAATCAGGCTGTCCTACTGCGCCTTGGTGTCAATTAACGCTCCCACTGCTCCGAGAAAAGTGATCAAATTGATTTACACCATACATTGTGATTTTCACGCGCTGCCAAGTGCGACCGTAGGTTTGGCGATGGCGATTAGGACTATGTTTAAGCTCTTAAGTCAGAGCGTGGGAGTGCCGTAGACAGCCGTACCCACTCGTTACCTGACACTGGTCAGTCCTAATGTATTAGGCATGCTCATGTTTTAGAGGTGATCTACCTGATATTAAGAAAGAGAGCTAATCAGCATGTGAACTCATAATCTAGAAATTTTGAATTTTAGTAGATTTTAAATGCGAATTAGAGATTCTTTTCTAGGTGACAAGTGTTTGTAAATAATTGATAAGTGAGCTCTATAGTTTTCAGGCCCAGGTACATGGTGGCAGAATTATCGTTGTATAAGTGGCAACCTCTCGAAAAAACGTCAGGACGGAGCGTCCATATTCACAATAAAGCCCTGTTGCGCGCCTGATATCTAAATGCAATTTGTTTGGTTTACTAGAAGGCCAGCATAGATGAATATTACCGACATTGTTCCTTTAAATCTAGTAGTAACAGTCGCAGCCGAGCAGCTTCGAAGTGGCTTCGTATTTTTTCTTTGAGCGTGAAACACAAAATGATTAGAACTGTCAGGACATACTGACGGAGGACCAACAGAACATTGTGCCTGATTGAACGGGCTCGCAGACAGCCACTAGTATTATTTCCGTTATCCGCTGAGCTGCACTCCCGATAGAGTGCGTATTGATCCCGAGAGATGCCAGATATCCGCCTTGATACTTGTTGCACAATCAACACGAGTTCTTCTATCAAATTAATAATTGACCCTCTTGACATCATGTCCGCACGAGGGTCAAGAGGCATATCGCTCATATATAAACTGCAACTACCCACACGCTTAGCTTAACGATGTGATTCGACGGGTGTTTATTATTGAGTGGCCCGCACGCGACCCTCGCTCCTAATGTAATGTACCCGGAAACTAAGATTTAACTGTGTCCAAATCAACTCAAATAATGACTCAAGTTTCACACACTTAATCAGCTGAATATGCCCTTTTTTATATTTGGTGGCAGCGGTCTAATGAAGAAAACAAGAGAAACGGTGACCGCAAGTATAATCAGGGATTAAACACACATACGAGCCTCCTACATCAGACCATTCTTAGAGCTGCGCCTGCCACCCCATGCCAAACTCGGCCTCCTGACCCACACAGAAGTGACCGAGTAGCGGCGTTTTTACATGCATCGGCTAAGATGAAGGCAGCCAGAGTCTATGTCCCCACTAGGCGTAACTGGGCCTGCGTGAACATCAATCCCTGGTACTGTTCCGGATATACCGCGCATTGGGCCGCCCGCACCAGACCACGCGTCACCCCTGTGCCCTTCCTAACAATAGGCTCCTTACCTGGCAACCTTGGCCTCAAACCTGGACCTCAATGTTGCTATACAATTCTCACTTCCCACACTCGTATTCATCTGACGATATCGCAGGACCTAGACCGCCACTCGCCTACTATCTCAGAACTTGTTTTATAGACCACTATTGGATCCTGAAATCGTACTAACGAATCCCGACCCCTTTTAACGCACCGCGCATATCGACCCGAGATCCCCGTCTGGAACCATCGGTACCAGATCACCTAACCTATGACACGTTCAATAGTTAAGATCTCGTACCGTCCCGTCGTCAACAGTTGGGCCCCACATCTAGACACCGGCTCGACGTAAAGGTCAACGACACATTCGGGACTGGGGGGGTAAAATCGCACAACCACACCGAGTTGGCAAATGTCGAGCTGGGGCGTCACAGGATCAAAGAAAGGTGTAAAGGAAGGGGGAAAACAACGTTCAAGCTCTCCGTGTAATTCACTAAGTCCGGAAGTGAGTAATTACGGGAAAGAAAGAACTCTAGCGTAAAATTGCGGCACAAAAAAATCCCTAAGAACGCTGGCGACCTAAAAGGCTCGCGATATGAGTAGTCGGTGACTCAGGTAAAGCAGTCAAACTGCGTACTTGGCGAAAAGTCCATAACATCTATGAGTCCGATAAACATTGAGTAGAGTCACACACTCGAAGGTGACGAGATACTATGAGTACGAGTTTTAACCAAAAAACGACTCAACAAAGGGCAGCCTTTTAATGAAAACAAAATTTTTATCAGCATATGAGGCAAACGAGTAGTAGACTCTGAACGAAAGCAAAACATAGAATGCGAAACACTTTTATCATGTATTCGCACACGGTCGAACCTAATTTGGCAGACATTGTTTTATGGACAAATTTCATTGGGTACTAAGAAAAAGGAGGCTTCGTGAATTATGAAATGCTTGGAACGTTTACTTAAGCCTCGGAACCGTCCCACGAAAGCGATAAAAAAGTGTCTTAAGACATAACCCTGTGGATTGACTGGGCGTTATCTGGCAAGAGACAGGTAAACAACTATGGCCTTATGTTACCTATGTCTGTAAGAAGGGAAAGATAAATATGATGATGTCGGTACGTTTGCTAAGTAGGAATCCTAATAATCATCATCTGAGGAATGTATGGAGGCAAAAGCATCAATTTACACAAGAGTGAAAATATATGCTTTTCAACAGACTAAAAATATTTGATATTATCAAAATGGAATGGTGCTTTATGATAAGAAGTTATAACAAAAGTGATTCTACAGCTACTATATAAAAATTCTGAGTAATAATTTACCATCAATATGTAGATGCAATTCATTATATCTACCTTAAGCACTCTGATGCATGTTCAGTAACCACATTTGAGACTATTAATTTGGTTTAACCGTACATGCCACCATTTGTCTGTCCAAGTGGCGCTGCTGTTGGGTATCCTGAGTGTTATCTAGAAGTTGGGTTATTGGTGAGAGATACCACACATCTAGTTCGTTGAAATATAGAACATAATCATCAAGGTGGCAGGCTCCTCCCTATATGAAAGCTTGAGCTTGCGTCCGTCAAATGCGGCTGAAAAGTGCTTACGCCTCAATTCTTGTTCTTGGCCCAGATAGTTGTGTGCTACAACGTATCGCTGGAAGCTTTCCTCTCTTAAATCTGCAAAGAACCTTAAACGCTTGCGCCAAGTCTCGTCGGGCAAACTTTCAAATAAAGTACGAGGCGACGACGATCCCAACACACATTCTTTCGAGCAAGGTTCCTGAAATTGACCATCCCTGGTCGACAAATATCCAACTGTTTCGCGCGTGATATGTGAACTACGATTTGGCTAACAGGGTTACTGAATCTCCAACCACTTCACCACGAGAGTCACCGCACTAGCACGTTAGAGTTGAGCGGCTGTCGGCTGCCGCGCAACTTGTTCAGCGAAACCCCCGCCTTCGTGTCCACTTCTCCCTAATGTACATTCGCCATTTACAAACAATCAGACCACTCAGCAGCGAGCGAGTCGTACAAATGAGCACTGGTTCTCGCTTGTGGTGGCGGGTCGTGCGAGGAGGTCTAGGGAGAGGAATGGGGTATTGGTAGCGTGGGTCGTGGGTTGCCGGGGCCGGGGAGGACGCACAGTCCAGTCGCCGAACATGAGGTACGCTGTTGGCGTTACTGATCTTGATGTGAAAGGTATCCTGATCAGACAGAGATTCGCTTTGAGGTCAATTAAAAGAAGAACGTCTTCGAAAAGAACAACAGTATTTGGGACACGTATCCAAAATGTAAGTCGGAGCACAATGAATTAGAAAGGTAAAAAAAGTGGGATTAGGATGTTTTAGGATAAAATGTGAAAGTAGCTCACAACTCAAGTGAATCAGCAAAATTTACATACTTCGCACCCTGAAAAGGCCAGACAAAGTAAAAAATACGGAGCAATTGCTGCATCGGCCGAACTAACTTAACAGGTGTGCTAAGTGGCAGAAGGTTAGATTGGGAAAAGCTATTAAGTGCCTATGTACACCACCGCAAACGCCAAAAAGACCATGTGTTTACCGTCGACTCCCACGAAGAAGCTGGCGGCTGTCAAAAGACGTGCATCCCTTCAACTTCAAGGCCCCGAGGTTCTGCACTAAGCAAGTAATAAACAAAAAATCCAAAAGAGACTGCGTTAATTACCTTTCTTCAAGCAAGCAGCGTCGCTACACGAAATTTATTTAAAATTTTATTGAAAAATTCCCAATCAGCTCGCTCTGCATGTCAGAAGTTATTGGTTGAAATCTGTCCAAGAGAAGATAATAAGAATCTTTGCCCTATCAAGACACAAAACATTGACCTGGCGAAACGGGAACAAGAGAGATGGGCATCTCGGGCCGACATTTGAAAACTTTTTATGGAGAGAGGCTCATATATAGCCGCAAATAAAAATCTTGCTCCCTAATCTCCGTGAGGCGGCATTCAGTTTGCTTCTCTTGCACCTATAAGAGCATAGGAATCTGCATTAAAGAAAGACGTCGTTGCAACCGAAGTGGATGTATTATGGCCAGGCTAGCCTTTTCCCACAAGCCACCACCAGAAACTCGGTCAGTGAGATGGTTGGACTGCAACTATGGTTGTAGGCACTGCACGATCGGTAATCATCTGCATTTCACGTTTGAACCAGATAGTTAAATTTATCAAAAGATCCACAATTTGACTATGAGCTACATTAATGCCCTTGTTATAACAATGATCTGCAGATTATGTGTTTTATTGAGTGAAGTGTACATTATTGTATATCAAATCTGTAGTAAAAATTCAATTAAGAAGTTCAAGCTAAACAAATTCTAATGTAAACGCAGCTATTATAGTCCTGGCTCGAAACATTGCGTTCATCATGAATCTGTTCCTACTCTCTTTCATTCCAAAATGTACAAACTGAATTGTATATGTAACGAGTTTTACATAAATAATTTTATTTTAGCCATTTGTCTGCTTAATCATGGATGGCATGAGATCTGCAGTAGACGAATTACGGCAAGTCGTTTGAACAACGACATTCTCCGCTGGTAAAATGAGCATGTTACTGCCGTTATAGCGACACAGGCGGAAAACCAGGCAGACGAAGGCTATTTGATATAAATGGTAGAAAACTTCTTCACAAAGCAGAGACATAGTGTTCAGTGGCCTTCTTTGTGGATTTTGTAATTCCTGATAATTCTGCAAAATTCCATACCCAACACATGGTTTTTAACATGTGTGACCAATGAATAATTTGATTTATATACCATGCTAAATATCATTTACGGTTTTCTTAAATTTTACAAGCTGTTTTAATGTATTTAATTTCTAGATAATAGTTCGCGATGATTGATGACGCAATTGGACGTACACCCTGCATATGCCTTGATTCTGATACTGGCAGACAATTTAGATAAGCGTTTCTGAA